ATCTTCTTCTGACTTGTTATGACTGGAGACTTGAACTGAGCGTTAGCCAGAGTGTACTGTGCCAAGACAGCTTTGGTCATATCACTGGCAATGTCGTTGTTTGTGTAAGTTCTTTGGTTCTTTTCACTGATTTGCCTGATTAAAACACCGTATCTCAAAGCATCTCTCAATGTAGGCAACTCCGACTTCAGGAGCTCTCTCCCAGACCCAAGATAGTGACTGAGATGGCTGGATTTTTGGTTCCTCGTCCTGACACAAGCAGCCATCGCAAATATTATCAACTTATAAATGCATCAGAATCTGAAACAGAAAAAAATATTGTTAGTTGGGTTGTTAAAGAATGAAGTCAGAAAGCAATGTTCACTATTTAATTGTAATGCACTAATGCAGCTGTACGTTAGATTTTCGATAAATTTCACGCTAAAATTTACCAAGCAAAAGGTTGCAAAATATTGAAACTGAAATTATTTTCTGTTTATATACACTAAAATCTACCAAAAAAGTGATGGGCCATTAGTTTTAGCTGATCTTCCCTCCTATGACACACCCTACTACATATAGCACCATCCATCATCACTACATATAACATCATCCATCATCACTACATATAACATCATCCATCATCACTACATATAACACCATCCATCATCACTACATATAGCACCATCCATCATCACTACATATAACACCATCCATCATCACTACATATAACACCATGCATCATCACTACATATAGCACCATCCATCATCACTACATATAACACCACCCATCATCACTACATATAACACCACCCATCATCACTACATATAACATCATCCATCATCACTACATATAGCACCATCCATCATCACTACATAACACCATCCATCATCACTACATATAACACCATCCATCATCACTACATATAACACCACCCATCATCACTACATATAGCACCATCCATCATCACTACATATAACACCATCCATCATCACTACATATAACACCATGCATCATCACTACATATAGCACCATCCATCATCACTACATATAACACCATCCATCATCACTACATATAACACCACCCATCATCACTACATATAACACCACCCATCATCACTACATAGAACATCATCCATCATCACTACATATAGCACCATCCATCATCACTACATATAGCACCATCCATCATCACTACATATAGCACCATCCATCATCACTACATATAGCACCATCCATCATCACTACATATAACACCATCCATCATCACTACATACAACACCATCCATCATCACTACATATAACACCATCCATCATCACTACATATAACACCATCCATCATCACTACATATAACACCATCCATCATCACTACATATAACACCACCCATCATCACTACATATAACACCATCCATCATCACTACATATAGCACCATCCATCATCACTACATATAGCACCATCCATCATCACTACATATAACACCATCCATCATCACTACATATAACACCATCCATCATCACTACATATAACACCATCCATCATCACTATATATAACACCATCCATCATCACTACATATAACACCATCCATCATCACTACATATAACACCATCCATCATCACTACATATAACACCATCCATCATCACTACATATAGCACCATCCATCATCACTACATATAACACCATCCATCATCACTACATATAACACCACCCATCATCACTACATATAACACCACCCATCATCACTACATATAACACTATCCATCATCACTACATATAACACCATCCATCATCACTACATATAGCACCATCCATCATCACTACATATAGCACCATCCATCATCACTACATATAACACCATCCATCATCACCATCCATCATCACTACATATAACACCATCCATCATCACTACATATAACACCATCCATCATCACTATATATAACACCATCCATCATCACTACAGATCGGTAAAGTAGTTTCCGAGATTCTCCTGTGGACACACAAACAAATAAATAAAGAGACAGACAGACTTCTATGTTACACACACACATATATATATATATATATATATATATATATATATATATATATATATATATATATATATATATATATATATATATATATAGATATAGCTATAGATATAGATAGATAGATGCTTTATTTAAATAATTGTGTTTACTCCAGTGCTGTTTATTTAATATTTGTGTGAGTGAAGACAGTTAAAACTTTTTTATTATATTTTAGTAAATAGTTGTCCTCTCTTAACGGTTGTTTATTACCCCTTGGAAACCCGTGGTTCTTGACTTTCATTTGATAAGATCCTGATTAGGTTAGCAAGGGATTTATATCCTACAGGCCAGGCCTTTACAGTGTCATATACCAAAGCCACTTTCAGGTCAGGTAGGTTCTACAGTGTTAGATCAACCGTTACCTCAGCTTGTGACACACCAGTTGAGTCGGTGACGGGAAGGATTCCAAGTAACTTCCCCTCGTTGTACTGTGGAGATCCAGATATGAGGACTGCCAGGGCTTCCTTTGCCATCCCAGTGCAGTGCACAGAATTGAGGGAATTCACACAAGTCTTGCATATGTTTGTGATAAAGCTTAAGACGAGTTGTCATCCTTTTGCGACGCATTGTGGAAGTTGAGATAACAAAATCATTGAGGTCTCCTCTTCCAGCCGTGATTCGATATGAAACCATAACAGTAGACTGAATGTTAGACAGTATAAGACTGTCAGTAAGAGTGCAGTTTTTTCACATTCCATTATCTTTGTTGGAAATAGAATTGCATTTGTTGGTCTATCTGATTAATTGGCTCCAGAAATTAGTTGATAATTAAAATTATTATCATCAATAGCATCACAGGATTTACAGAGACCAACTGAAGATGTTGAGTGTGCTGTTACAGTCTGGCAATTTGGTGTGTACTTTCTTCTAATAGTTCTTGTCATGTGTTATTCTTCGTTGGTCCAGGTAAAAGGATATGTCATCTTCCTTCTTTCCTTCAGATAACAATCTATTATTTCTTATCACCTATATGGCATCAGTTGTTCCTATATCAAATAGTTCGTCAAGATGTACCTCCAAGTTGTTTCTTTTATCACCTGAATCACCTTTTCTATCTTTATTTTTTACAAAGTTTCAGTGCCTTTGATGGAGAGGCATAAATTGCATCAAAGCATTCTTCCTAGTTACACACTACAAAACTAGATTAGTACAAGTCAAACTACTCTACACTGAAAAAACCTTCTTATCTTTGCCATACGATTAATATTGCATTGATTGTATACTGTATTTTACTCATGATATTTCACCTTTGATTAAAAAAATAGCACTCAAGCAATGGCTTTTGAATATTTATTTATATGTAAAGAGATATTATTCTGTGACATGTCCATTTTAAGTCAATTGAACTATAAATAGAGATTTGTCGGTATTGGATTTCAAAGTCCAAGAGGCAGCATTTTCCCTAAAAATGAGCGGGAAATAGATATTTTTTTCGAAATCCTCGATGTTCAAAATCATGAGAAATCAATCAGGAGGGTACAAAAAAAGAATATATATTTTTGAACAGATCGCACATAATAATCTCCCGACTTTTCCATAGATTCCCGTGGGAAAAAAAGAAAGTTGCAAAGTTCAAGAGTGAGCCAGCATCACCATAAAACATTTTTATTTTATTTCATCGACTAACAGTTTTCCTCTCGTATAAAGCTCCATAATCATGTAATAAGTAAAGTTGGTCATCTACGCCCAATGTCCTTTCATGACGCCTCGCGAAGAATGTTAGTCGCCCCTGTAAAATAATTTAATTAGTGAAATGCTTGGTGAATGTCTCGTTGTACTTGATGAGAGACGACGGTACTAAATGTGATGACATCCCATTAAGCTTCGCAAACGAATGTCACCATTATATAAAGCTGGACAGAATATTGTGTTCCCCGTAACTCACCCGGAGCCTCCGGTAAAATCTCCCTCCCTCAGAGAATATAAGATATTATTAATTGTGTTATTCTCTACTGTCATGCTTTTGTATCTAAAGGCCTGTTGCATTAGACTACTTCAACCACTGAGGTACCCATCTTCACCCATTTTATATCAGTAACATAACTTTCCATGCACGTATAAGATTTAGTACCACAAGTGACACTAGTCACTCAGGGGTCATGGAAGGTGAAAAGGCCTGGCCTTTAGGATTTAAATCCCGTGCCAGCCTAATCAGGATCTTATAAAAAGGAAACTCAAGAACCATGGGTTTCCAAGGGGTAACAAACAACTGTTTGAGATTGACATCTCTTTACTACGAAAATAATCACAATAATTTCACTCTGACACCACTCACAGAAATATTAAATAAACAGCACTGGAGTCAAACAAAGACTTAAAACAAAACAAAAAATACAACAAAGAACAGGTATTTCCTACGGCTGCAGATGAATCTTCCTCCTAACCAGCACGGCGGAATGTTCTGGTAAAGCGGTGATCCGCTCTAAGGGGGAAGGTCCAGGGCAGCTTCCTCATTTGGCGCCGGCGTTGGTGGGCGATGTCTTGCCACACAGGAGAGATGCCAGGACACGGACGGTGGATAGGACGTGGAGGAAGGGGCGATCACGTGGCAGCTGCGTAGTAGCTGGAGTAGGTAACCGGAGTTGACAGCCGAATAGTGAAGGACTGGGAAATCAGGCCAAGAGCCCCAGAATCCTCAGATGAGTACACAAGCAGAGTTGGAATCGAACAGCGGCGATAGTAGCAGCTGTGGTGAAGGCTGGATCGTGTCTGGTGTGCGACGAGGTAGCAGAGACCTTCTAACCTCCGTCTACCACCCTAGTGGGGCCACAAACGAGCAGCGGAAAACCATCACTCTCGTTACAGCCCTTACAGAAGGCAACACTTTTTTTTTTAAAGTTACCAAGTTTTTTCCCAAAGGAACAATTCAACAAGATCCATAAAAAAAGTTGTCTGCTTTATCACAGTACAGTAACTATGCATTATAACCCCATTTCCCCACATTCTAGGAGATGGTGATGTCACCAGGGTATCATATAGTGGTGCTGGCTGCTACAGTGATGAGCTCTGCGCCCGTAGTCAGCCAGATTATGGATGGACCCGTGGTGCAGGTGGCCGTGGATGTGGGCGTGATGGTGGGTCAGATTGTGGAGTACCATCTCACCGGTTGTCACCTGGTGCTCTTCACCACTACACCACGCTCATATGTATCCACCAATATAATTAGGTGAATGTTTTTTTTTTCATTAATCCTTTTAATATATAAACGTAGAGCTTTATTACGATGGCTATACATAGTATGTAACTTACAAACCTACGCAGTTCCGTTGTGGAAGTATCTACTGTACCATTGCATTCCGGGCTTTACTTGCTTACTGACAGCCAAAGCTTCACGTAAGTTCTCGCAGATGGTCTGATCAATATGTATCTGTATGTGCATTTTCTGTAAGATATCAAAATTAAGCCAGGTTGAAATAGATATCACGCATTTCTGGTAATTTCATCTAGGAAGGGAATCAGTACGAGTTTCGTTTCGTTTAGTAGAGACTCCAAGTTAGTAAATGGCGAGCACGCTGTTGTTAAAAGCCATCACAACTAGGCCATTTTTATACTTTTATTAAAAGTAGCTGTAGGTGCCAGAACATAAGGCTGATGACACATTATTTTAACTTGTCACTCAGACACGTGCATATGAATGTGGAGACTGGCCTAGTAGTGGAAGAAGCGTGGGTGTTCTCCCAGGACCAGCTGGCCCAGGACTTCTTCCTCCGGGGACTGTGGGGAGACATCACAACCACCTGTCGGGCACTGATCCTTGATCTCACCACCAGCAACAGTACTGACCTTGTTCTCAGGTAATAATTATGAACATACTTGGAATTATTATTGCAAAATCACAAATATTTCGGGAACAGTAAACGTGACAAACTAGAACCAAAATCGAAAGTGCTCTAGAACTTACCCGCACACATAATACGCTCACACATACACACACACACACACCTAGTGTAGTGAAGGATGTAATGTAGATAAAGCAAATGCTAGGGGGTTTTAATCACACGTCTGAGGCCAAAAGGTTTGATGGTATTTTTTAAATGTATATTATATGAGTAGGTCAAAATACCATTTCTTACTCGATGCAGCCTGGCCAAAAACCTGTGGCAAAGGGTAAAAAATTGTACCTCACTGTGGCGACTTTTTTTTTTACACACAGGGAAACAACGTTGCCATAATTGCAATTTGACCTTATTATTTTGTGTAATTAAGTTGGAATTTTATAAGTAACAAAAATATACATCACAAAAACCATAGAAACATAGATATTACATATAAAAACATGTAAAATCCAAAGAAGCACAGTCATCACATTAAAACAAAATTTCTGATATCATGGTGCACAATTAAAAGAAATGATTCATATCCCTGATATATATATATATATATTTTTTTTTTATTCATACAGAATCATACTTAAGTACAAGGTAAACTGTACAGTAGGCAAACTGTATATTTGTTTACGATCTTTGAATTATATGCCTATGACAAAACATGTTTTTACCATACCTTGCTTTTTTTCTTTTATTTTACAGGGTTTGGCACACCCGGGCAAAGGTTTTCCGGCATCTTCGTGGTGTAGATTAATACAGTATAACCTTTTTTTTCTATATTTACAATATCTTTCCGTTCTTTTTTTTTTCGCCCCCCAGGCTCCGTTGTGGGTCGTTTGACCTGTGCCCGGGTTGGCTAATTCCCGTAAAAAAACAAAAAAGGTCACTCACACACATCGGGGCCTAGGAGGCGAAAAACGTAATCATAATAATACACACACACATATATATATATATATATATATATATATATATATATATATATATATATATATATATGCTGATAACTACAAGAAAACATTGTAAGTTCCTAAGCTTTGCTTAAAATCATCGCACCTATATATATATATATATATATATATATATATATATATATATATAAAACAAAGAAGTATGTCTGTGTGTGTGTTTGTGTATTGTGTGTCCGCACGAGAATCTCGGAAAGTACTTTACCGATCTGTAGTGATGCTGGATGATGTTATATGTAGTGATGCTGGATGGTGTTATATGTAGTGATGATGGATGATATTATATGTAGTGATAATGGGTGGTGTTATATGTAGTGATGATGGATGGTGTTATATGTAGTGATGATGATGGATGGTGTTATATGTAATGATGATGGATGATGTTATAAGTAGTGATGATAGATGTCGTTATATGTAGTGTTAATGGGTGGTGTTATATGTAGTGATGATGGATGATATTATATGTAGTGATGATGGGTGGTGTTATATGTAGTGATGATGGATGGTGTTATATGTAGTGATGATGGATGATATTATATGTAGTGATGATGGGTGGTGTTATATGTAGTGATGATGGATGGTGTTATATGTAGTGATGATGGATGATGTTATATGTAGTGATGATGGGTGGTGTTATATGTAGTGATGATGGATGGTGTTATATGTAGTGATGATGGATGGTGCTATATGTAGTGATGATTGATGGTGTTATATGTAGTGATGATGGGTGGTGTTATATGTAGTGATGATGGGTGGTGTTATATGTAGTGATGATGGATGGTGTTATATGTAGTGATGATGGATGGTGTTATGTGTAGTGATGATTGATGGTGTTATATGTAGTGATGATGGATGGTGTTATGTGTAGTGATGATTGATGGTGTTATATGTAGTGATGATGGATGATGTTATATGTAGTGATGATGGGTGGTGTTATATGTAGTGATGATGGATGGTGTTATATGTAGTGATGATGGATGGTGTTATGTGTAGTGATGATTGATGGTGTTATATGTAGTGATGATGGATGATGTTATATGTAGTGATGATGGGTGGTGTTATATGTAGTGATGATGGATGGTGTTATATGTAGTGATGATGGATGGTGTTATGTGTAGTGATGATTGATGGTGTTATATGTAGTGATGATGGATGATGTTAATAATAATAATAATGATAATAATAATAATTAACGGTTTATTGAAAGAGCTTGGCAGCCAGAAGGCTGAAAATATACAGTTACATATTTGGGGAATGGGTTACGAATTACGAATAATATACAAGTAACATGAGTGACACAAATAAGACATATAATAACTAGATGGGGAAAAGCTCAAACTACAGTTCATTTCAACATAGTGACAGTGCAAGGAGTAGTGTTTACTGGGAGTGAATACACTGATTTATTACAAGTTATTGATAATTTTTACAATGGTTGGGACTGGGCTGTTCTTATAGCGATCAGTTCGTGCACGTATGGGCTGGATGCGGTTGTGGTGTCGAACAGCAATTCTCGGACTAGGGATGATGGGTGGTGTTATATGTAGTGATGATGGATGGTGTTATATGTAGTGATGATGGATGGTGTTATATGTAGTGATGATTGATGGTGTTATATGTAGTGATGATGGATGGTGTTATATGTAGTGATGATGGATGGTGTCATATGTAGTGATGATTGATGGTGTTATATGTAGTGATCTCAAAAAAACTCCAACCAATCCAATCTGACACAACCCCGACGCCCACACGTAGAAAAGTCATATTCCCTCCTATGATTTATAGCTATTTTGATCCTTAGGTTCTCTTTCATTATGGCTTACTTTTCTCTGGATTTAGCCTCCATCCATTAAACCACACAGAGGTTGAAAAGTCGTATCACATCCCATGTATTACAGCTAATTTTATCCTTATGCTCTTTCTCATTACAGCATACTTTTCTTTGATCTCTAACTTTTCTAGGCTGTCCATTCTAACAAGGTAGTCCATTTTAACGAGGTATGCCAAACGTACGATTTTGCACACTGTGGCCTAGCAAAAGAGCAGCTCGTAGGGCGGCGTTTCTGCTCTCTCTATATATAAAACAAAGAAGTCTGTCTGTTTGTATGTATGTCCACAGGAGAATCTTGGAAACTACTTTACCGATCTGTAGTGATGATGGATGGTGTTATATGTAGTGATGAGGGATGGTGTTATATGTAGTGATGATGGATGGTGTTATATGTAGTGATGATGGATGATGTTATATATAGAATATGAAAAGTATCCCTCTGTTGTCATTGGCAACATGGATAAGAAATGTGAATATGGGGTGCAAATAAGTACAAAGGAGAATCTGCTGGACTGTGCTGCTCTAATGGGAAAGTACGACTGCCAAATTTGGAAAAACCACCACAATCATTGAAGACTCTCATGCTGGGAACAACACCAGAGTCAAAACACTACTTGGAAAATATACGGAAGTATATTTCATGCTTCCAGATGACATCCTTTGGAGCTACCAGAGTAGTTCGTGAGCACGGATACATGCCCACATTCAAAGTCCAGGGTCAAGTCTATCACAAAGCAGGATCCTTCTTACCCCTGGAAGATGAGCAGGCAAAGTTCCTCCATATCTACTTCATGGGAGATCATGAAAAGCAGACTATTATCAGGTGTGGCAACATTCAAGGTGTCAGACATGATATTGTCCTATCTATCCAAGAAATGCTGCATGAGTGCAACACGTATGTACAGTCATTTAAAAATGCCCTGGAAAGCATGCCTTCTGACGAGTACAAAGTCAGGATCAAAGCAGACACCTTAATGCACTACAGTGAGACAATGTTGAGCCTCCCGGAGGGTGGCGTCCTACCATGGCCTAGCGAAAGAGCCGCACAGAGGGCGGCGATTCCGCTAGTAATAAAAAAAATAAAAAAAGATCAAAAGTGAAAAACAAAATGTGTATGTTGTGTTGTCAATAATAAGAGAAACAATTGAGACCCTGCAATTGTGTGTAAATGAGGCAGAAAGTCAGATCAGCAACCTGGGACTTGGTCACAATTTTCGTAATGCCATATGGCACCAGGGTCTACCATTAGACAATTAGACAACACATTATGCTTCCAATATCTTCCCAGGTGGTAGTACTTTAAGGGTATTGAAATGCATCGAAAGAAAGGTACACTGCCATGATATGGTTCTTATTTATCATACCTCATACCCCAGAACAATATATATATATATATTATATATATATATATATATATATATATATATATATATATATATATATATATATATATATATATATATATATATATATATATATATATATAACAAAGAAGAATGTCTGTGTGTTTGTTTGTTTGTGTGTGTCCGCACGAGAATCTCTGAAACTACTTTACCGATCAGTAGATGGATGGTGTTATATGTAGTGATGATGATGGATGTGTTATATGTAGTGATGCTGGATGGTGTTATATGTAGTGATGCTGGATGGTGTTATACGTAGTGATGATGGATGAGGTTATATGTAGTGATGATGGATCTTGTTATATGTAGTGATGATTAGACAATAAAATAATACCAATTTAATGCTAAAAATTATACTTTGCTGTACCGTAGCAGTGCAACTTACAAACACCGTTAGTGAACTATTGATGGAAGAAGAAGTTTTGGGGACTGAACAGTAGTTGCAAACAGGGAGTTGCTCAGAGAGACAGACAACTCAGTTGAAGTTCTGGTGAATTTTCTTGAAGAAAATGAGCCTCACCTGGTGCCTGATCAAGCAAATGTTTATGAACAGATCCTGCAGGCGATACGAGAGGAGCAGGGAGGTATGATCTTTCTCGACGCACCTGGCGGGACAGGAAAAACATTCCTGATCAATCTTCTGTTGGCCAAAGTACATCATCAGGGGAAACTTGCAATTGCTGTGGCATCCTCAGGCATTGCTGCAACACTACTAGAAGGAGGACGTACTACACACTCAGCTTTTAAACTGCCTCTCAACCTCGC